TTTTCTAAAAAAAAAAAAAAAAAAAAAAAAAAATGGGTCTGTGGGTTTATATAATGTGGCCACTGAAAAACTGAAAGGTTTGAAAAAGTCATAACTTGTTCGTTTTCAATCTTTTTTAATTTTTTTTGTAGATTATAGAATTATGAAATTATAAAATCCATTAATTATAAAATAATAAAATTCCAAATAAAATAATACAAAATTTAAAAAAAATGTGTTTATAAAAGTTGAATTACTATGAAATTTTGATTTGTATTAACATTCTTTAAAAGTCATTATAATTATCAATTCATAAACTTACAATTAGAAAATAAAAGCAAAACTTCCAATGCAATTTATTAAATTTATCATTGTGTTTTATGATTAGCGTTCGATTTTAATTTAGTAATTGTACAATTTTGTTTACGTTTTTACATTGTATATCATGTATATGTATACAATTCTTGCAAAATGTTTTCCGATAATGTTATCATTCTATAATCGAAATATAATGATATTATACTTTAGGAATTTTAATCAATTGATTAAATGAATAAAAAATGATAACTACCTGAAACCATCATAAACGAGCATTATAAGTACAATAATTCTAATCACTTTTTACAAGAATAATGCACGTTTCGCTTGAATCTTTTTATCAACAGAGACTTAAAATCGATTTTCAATTGCATATATAAATTTCTTGGTAATTGTTTCGTTTAATCCTTGAGTAAAAGTAAATTATATTTTGTGGCAATTTAATCAAGTCAAATATCATTATTTAATTAAATATAGAGCGATAAATGTAATTATGGAAATATAAAATTATAAAAATTAATGTAAAATTGTAAAAATTAATTAATATGGAACGATTAATATTAAAATATTACATTATTTTATATGTGAATAATTAAGGCTTTAAATAATAATTTTATCTGCTTCCAAAAATATAACTGTAAAAATAGCCGGAAATTTTGGTCTGTATGCACCTGAATGAATTGTATCCACTCAGAGTACTTATTAGATGTAGTTAAATCACAGTAAATGAAATCTCAAGCAGGTTTCGAGCCTTTCGTGAGATGCATCACATAATGGAAAGCAGCAGTATATTTCTTATTTCAATTCCTTTTTGTTTTCAATGGAAAATGTTATGTTAGGTTACAACGACACGTCATTTTCGACGTTTACGTCATTATGTTACTTAGCTTTTTATATTACTATTGTATATATGCCATGTATATATAAAAATCTTTTTCTACATCCAATAGATTGTATTATATTTTCATTTCATTAAAATTATGACATTATTCTCCTTGAATAAATACTGTACTTTTATCGAGTAATTATTACGTTTTGAACAGATATTTAAAAATTTGCAATTTCTGATATGCTATAACTTAAGAATGTTT